TTTTTTTTTTTTGAGTTGGAGTCTCACTCTGTCACCCAGACTGGAGTGCAGTGGCCGCTCCCGGCCACCGCAGCCTCTACCTGCTGGGCTCCGGCGATCCTCCCGCCTCAGCCTTCCAAGTAGCCAGAATTATAGGCATGCGCTACCACACCCGGCTGATTTTTTGATTTATTGTAGAGATGAGGTCTTGCCTGCCGAGGCGGGTCTCGAACCCACGGGCTCAGGCAATCCACTCACCTCAGCCTCCCAAAGGCGCGGGATTATAGGCTGAGCCACCGAGCCCAGCGAGCTACTTCTTTTAGAAGACTGTGCTCTGCACCTACAAAATGTCATGGTGCTTGCCCTAGCAGGGCTTCAACTAGCATGAACTTCACCAGAGCAAGCTCCTTGGAGGTGTGTCTCCCCAGTCTCACTTCTGTCATGTTTAGGGGTGGATTTCTCACCCAGTGGGCACATTCTTGAGGCATGAAGCCTCTAACAAAGAGGAATTTCTGCTGAATGTTCATCCCTTGCACCAGTGGCACCCTTACACTATTATGCAAAGGCATCAGGAGAAGCCAGTGTGAACCAATTGCATGTGCTACAACGGTGTTGGGATTCTCGTCCCATCTTGGTCATCTTAACCTGGTCATTCGGTCAAGTCCTCATGCTCAATTACGTATTTGCTTAGGTTTGGTTTCTCTCCTTCTCTCTTCACAGTTTTACTTTCCGTTTTCCTTACATAAGTCTTCTGGTCTCATTAGAGGGGTCTGGTCTAGTTCAGTGGTCGCATTACATCATCTCACATACTTGCAGAAGGAAGGTCGGTAGAAATCCCATTTCACATGAATGTCACTCTCTTGTGCTCACATTAGATCCACACAAAGCAACATCACAGGGCAAAGCATTGATGAGTTTTAAGGGAGAATAATTATCTTTGAGCATATCTATCTCAATCAAAGCTGTAGATAAGCAGAGATGTAAGTAATTTCCCCTCATTTATTCCACAGATTTTCACTGGCTTATATTATGTTGCGGTGAGCAGGTGGTTGCTTATGTCTTCTTCTGGGCACCTAACCACCCTAAGAGAGCACCTTCCCAACCCACAGTGCCTAGAGATAAGGGTACAGCAGAAATCCAGCTCCCTTGACATGTGTTGATTTTTTTAAGGCTTAAAAGATGACCCAGTTTGAAAGGCATATAAGAAACTAGAACAAATAGAAGAAAGGATCTCAGGACTGGAAGACAAGGCTTTCAAATTAACCCAGTCAAACCACAACAAAGAAAAAAGAATCAAAAGAATGGAACAAAGTCTCCAAGAAATATGGGATTATGTAAAAATCCAACCCTAAGAGTCATAGGTATTTCTAAGGAACAAGAGAAAGCAACAGGTTTGGAAAACCTATCTGAGGGAATGATGGAGAAAAACTTCAGTGGCCTTGTTAGAGATTTAAACATCCAGATACAAGAAGCCAAGAAAAACTCTTAGAAGATCCCCAGAAAAACTCTTGGAAGAGTCATTGCAAAAAGGTCATCCCCCAGGCATACAGTGACAGGTTATCCAAAGTTAACGTGAAGGCAAATATTCTAAGAGCAGTCAGACAAAAGCATCAAATAACTTACAAAGGTCAACCTATCAAACTAGCAGCAGACTTCTCAGCAGAAACATTACAAGCCAGAAGAGATTGGGGCCCCATCCTCAACCTCCTCAAAGAAAATAACAGGCAAGAATTTTGTATCCCACAGAAATAAGTTTTATAAATTAAGGAGAAATAAAATCTTTCTAAGACAAGCAAATGCTGAAGGAATCTGTTGCCATTAGACTGGCTCTACAAGAAATACTCAAAGGAGTTCTAAATATTGGAACAAAAGGTCAAAATATGCCAGTATAAAAACACTAGAAATCACAAAGCTCACAGAGCTTGTAAAAGAACACCAACACAATTGAGAGGGGAAAAAAGGCCACTGGGTAACAACCAACATGATGAATGGAATAGTACCTTACATATCATTATTAACCCTGAATGCAAATTATCTCAATGCCCCATTCAAAAGATATATACTGGTTTTCAAAAGATATACATTGGCAGAATGAATTTTTTAAAGCAAACAAACACAATCAAAATATCTCCTGACTTCAAGAGAACAAACAAAGATGCTTATAGACACAAGGGAAAGGAGTGGAAAAAATATTCCATGCAAGTGGAAACCAAAAACAAGCAGAAGTAACCATTCTCACATCAGACAAAGCAGACTTTAAATTAACAATAGTGAAAAGAGACAAAAAAACAGTATTATATAATAATAAAGCAATCAATTCAATAAGAAAATATAACAATTTTAAATATATATGCACCAAACACCAGAGCTCCCAGCTTTATAAAACAAATTCCATTAGACCTAAAAAAAAAAAAAAAAAGTGAGAGAGATAGCCAACAATATAATAATAGTGGGAAATGTCAACACTTTACTGACAGATCATCAAAGCAGAAAGTAAACAAAGAAACACTGGAGTTAAACTAGAACTAGCAAACGGACCCAACAGACATCTATAGAACATTCCACCCCAAAACTACAGAATATACATTTTTCTCATCAGCCACATGGAACTTTCTCCAAGATAGGCCATATGATAAGCCAAAAATCAAATCTCAATAAATTTTTAAAAGTCAAAATCAGATGAAGCACCTTCTCAGACCACAGTGGAATATAATTAGAAATTAACTCCAAGAAAAACTTTCAAAACCAGACAAATACATGGAAATCAAACAATCGCTTCCTGAATGATCTTTGGGTCAACAACAAAATGAAGTTGAAAATATAAAAATTCCTTGAAGTGAATGCCAAAAACAACACAACATATAAAAACCTCTGAGCCACAGCCAAAGCTGTGCTCAGAGGAAAATGTATAGATAGTGCTTAAAGCCTATATTAAAAAGAGTGAAAGGTCACATATGGACAGACTAACATTACACCTCAAGAAACTAGAAAAACACAAACAAACCAAACCCAAAGCTAGCAGAATAAAAGAAATACTAAGAGCAGAACTAAATGAAATTAAAACCAAAAACAAAAAATTCAAAGGATCAATGAAACAAAAAGCTGGTTCTTCGAAAAGATCAAAAGATAGAATAGACCACTAGCTCGACTAATTAAGAAACAAAAAGCAGATTCAAATGAGCTTAATCAGAAATGAAAATGGAGCACGCAAGTGGCAGCCTTAGTTCTGGGAAGACAACTGCTCCTAAACTCCCCAGCTGGGTGGTGGGTCCTTAGCCTGGATGGCTGTCGTAGTGACTACCACAGCAGCACTACTGACCATGCTGGGTGCTGTGCTGTAGCTGGCAGCCCGGTGGTTCATGGGGCCCAGGGTCCAGTAGCTGCATGGAAGCAAGGACCCCCGCATCATGCATGGGAAGACTGTACTCATCACTGGGACGAACAGCCACCTGGGCTGTGCCACAGCAGACGAGCAGCTGTGCTTGGGGCACGGGTGATCATGGGCTGCCAGATTGCACATGTGCCCGGGAGATAGCAGGTCAGCTCCTCTGAAAGCTCTGTCAGGCCTTCTAGGCCATGCCCAGGTGCCAGGGGCCAGCTCAGCGTCAAGGAGTTGGACCTGCCTCAGTGTGCTCACTGTGCTCTTTCTGCCAGGAGATGCTCATGCTCCAGGTGAAGAACCTAAGCTGGATGTCTTGATCACTATTGCAGGGAACTTCCAGTGCCCTTACATGAAGACTGAAGATGGGTTTGAAATGCAGCTTGGAGTGAACCATCTGGACCACTTTCTAGTCACCAATCTTCTCCTTGGACTCCTCAAAAATCCAGCTCCCAGCCGGATTGTGGTAGTTTCTTCCAAACTTCATAAATATGGAGAGAGAACTTTTGAAGACTTGAACAGTGAACAAAAAGTTATAATAAAAGTTTTTGTTACAGTCGGAGCAGACTGGCTAACATTCTCTTTAGCAGAGAACTAGCCTGCCACTGAGAAGGCACAAACATTACTGTCAATGTATTACATTCTGGTACTATATGGACTAATCTTGTATGGACTAACACATTCCACTGTTAGTCAAACCACTCTTAAATTTGGTGTCATGCCTGAGCCCGTGGGTTTGAGACCAGCCCTGGCAACTTGGCAAGAACTTTTCTCTATAATAAATAAAAGAATTAGCGGGGTGTAGTAGTGCACACCTGTAGTTCCAGCTACTTGGAAGGCTGAGGCAGAAGGATTGCTGGGGCCCAGCACGTAGATGCTGGGGTGGCCATGAGCATGCCACTGCGCCCCAGCCTGGGTGAC